CAAATCAAACTATGTGACCAGATTTCATTAAAAAACCCTTTAGTGGCTTTCTGATTGTGTATCTTTCTGATTGTGTATCTTATGTGAGGATTGTCTCAAGAATGTGTCTTCAGGGCCACGTCTGCATTATAAATGCCAACTCTGTGTTACAGGTTTCCTGCTATGATTAACAGATGCGGCCTTGATGGCCTGTTAAATGGCCGTGCGTGTTGATGTTACTGTACATCTGCACCTTTTCTTTAACATTTCAAGATGTTTCACGAGACAAAAGATGTGATATTTAGAAAGCTTGTATGGAAATGAAGTACATATTTGAAGCAATAATATATTTTATGAGTTTAAAAAGAAGTCTTGCTGTAGTCGCATGCAACTAGTAGTTTTTGCTGCCTAATGCGACTCTTCAAACACTGCAGATTAACTGGATGTCATTCTGCTGTGTTCTGTACCTGTTACACTACAGTATGTGCTGGCATTACCATTAGCCTGTAATTGTCTACTGTGGCCATCATGGGCACACTTTATAGACTACACAACTTCACCGAGTGTGAAACACCTTCAAAGATCCCTCCATAGGTACCACGGAGCACCTTAACTCTGGGAAGGTGAACCGTTTTTATCTTGTGTGAAGACTGATTAAAAAAATATCCCTTTAAGGGACACACATGTGTGTACAGTAGCGGGGAGTGTAATCACGGTACGGTCTGCACAACTGAGGAACAAACCCCAGCAGGCGGCTGGACTCGTGGCAGCACAGGTGCTGCTTCTAACATTGTCTTAATAACAGCTCTGCTCCATTTAGAACTCTCATTAAGCTCTGCCATTGATCCATAATGCACAAACACCAGTACCCGACATTTGAATCATCCATGAATCGGTTCTATGGATTAATAATCTTCGCAACCTGTCATTTGATCTGACTTTGAATTAATCAGGGTGTTATCCACAACCCACGTGAGTCCAAGTGACGAGCTTTTGATGTGATTTCTATGAGTGATTCTTAATGTTTAGGATAAAAGTTGCTCTCTGTTCCTAATGCTTCCTCCAGCCTGCTCCACTGTGTGCAGGAGAAGGGCCAAACATGTTTGGCTCTTTGTGAACACACTGATGCCTTCTACGTAAAGGACAATAAATCTCCTTCAGGTCATTTTCTCTGCATCAATGATTACAAGACTTACTGGAAACATCACAAAATGATGACAGCTACTTCACTTAATGCTGGCGTCCATTTGTAAATACAGATGTAAAGCAGTTTTCAGATAACTATAAAATACTTTTAGTGCCACCCTGCTGGTTTCATTTTCTTTCAGCTGCTTGCTTAGAGAATTTTTTTAAATACTAATAATTTTATTCTGTGGCTATGTTTTTATTTTTATTCCCACAATCTGCTCATTTGCATTCAGTACATGTAGCCGCCCTCCACTCAGACCTGCAATAAATTCGAGGCTGCTGTGGCTCAGGAGATAGAGCAGGTCATCTACCAATCAAAGGGTTAGTAGTTCAATCTCTGGCTATTCCAGTTCAAGCACCTTAGAGTCCTTAGGTGAGATACTGAACCCTGAATGGCCTCTGATGCATTCAGTGGAGTGTGTGGGATCACTAAAGGTGTAGCTTTTAAAAGCAGCAGTGTGACTTTGATTAAGAAAGTACTATGGCAGTGCAAGTACATTTATCATTTATCTAATGTGTTTAGGAGACACCTTTAGATTGTAGCTGGAAAAAGAATGTTTTTACCCAAGCAAATATCATTTCTTTCTCCCCTACTGTGATGACAAAAAAATAAAATATATAAGGGATAAATATATAATCAATTTGACATACACAAAAAACCCACTGAGCTCATATTCTTCTCTATAATAAGAAAAAGAAAACAACACGTGAGACTTGACCTCCCCAGCACCTTTATTTCCTGTTCTTCTTTACAAAAACATCCTCAAATTGCCCTCTTTTTTTACTTATTAACAGACTTTCTCAGAGACATCGACTCTGTATCAAATAGGAAACAGCCACAGAAATGTTCCATGTGTCAGTATTACTGCCAATATGGTTCATTAACAGTTGAAAAATGTTACGAGGTGAGCTGAGGGACAAAAAAGAGGAATGTACCAAAAAAAATAAAATAAAATAAGGAGGGGGGCGGGACAAACCCAGGTTTAAAAAAAAAAAAAAAAAAAAAAAAAAAAAAAAAAAAAAAACAACAACAAAAACAGCTCGCAATAAGAAAACAAATCTCACAGGAAGATGAAGTGCAATGATCAGTAGCTCCACAGTCCTCTGCACTGAGTGTTATTCCAGACCCCCAGAGACGTGGTGATATTTCAATTTCTTCCATTTGGCAACACAGACAAACTGCATGCTTTGAAGTTTTCAACTTTTCGTCCCATTTTCTCTTAAAAAAAACCCAAAACAAACAAAAAACAAAACAAGGTTTTGATGGAAACAACAAAACAATCATCTTCTTTTTTCTTGCCCCTATTTTTTCTGATTTCTGTGGAGAGATACAAAAACAAGCATTAGTTATTACAGACATGACAATGAATGAATGAATGAATGAATGAATGAGAACCTCTCTGGGCTCTCACTGAGCACCTGATCACTGACAAATCATGGATCATGCATTCTGATGTGCACCCTACCACAAAAACACAGTGTAAGTAGGCAAAAACACAGAGCAACCACCATGACCAAAATCTCTCAAGTCGTGGACGATGCACGGACATGGACACAAAACACATCTCTCAAATGTAATGGTACAACCAGAACCACGAGTGTTAGACAACACAATGGAGGGACTGTCCAAGTGGCTGCATGGCTATGGTTGCAGTGATCGTGGTGGGATGAGTGAAGAGGCAAACCAGATGGGGGGGGGGGGATGGCAGCAAGTACATGTGAACACTCGGAGTTAGAATGAGCACCACACAGCCATGCACGCTGCGAGACATTATGGAAATGCGCAGTGGATGCAGTCTGTGAGGATGCCCTTACTTCAGCCTGGAAGCAGAACCGACTCATTTGTTACAAATGGGGGAGGCTTTATCGAAGGCTTCTATACTTTGCCAATCTACTACTTTGCTCTGCAGCAATCCTGTAAGACACAGCGAGGTGTGGATAGAAGGGTTAAAGAAAAGAAAAGAGCTTCACGAGACAAAAACTAGCCTGGAAGAAGGGACAAAGTCCTCAGCTGGAGAATGACATTGGTGAAATCGTTAATTGAAATCTTCTACGTTGTTAAATGGGCTGTTGTGAGATCAAGAGGTAAAGGCGGACAATTACAAAGCGAGCTCTCGAGTCAGAGACAAATTGCTCACTCTGGCCCTCAAAGAGCTCTACATAATCACGGTGAAGAAATTGCCCCTGATATCATCACTGCTTTCACTCCTTTAGATCTTGCTGCTGTTCTTCTCTCCTTGTCCAAGTATGCACAAGCTCTTCTACTGGCAGAGAGCCTGATATCGAAATTAGCCTCTGCAGGCCCACTGAACAGCTACGAATATAGAATAGGCACTTTCCCTCAAGTTTGGAGATAAGAACTACCTAGAGGCCTCACAGCACTGAAGTCCTTGTTATCTGGAAAAGGGCTAGGCTTTCTCTCTACCATTAAGGACTCTCTAGGAGCCATTTGTGCCAGTCGCATTTGGCAGGCGTACCTCTTCACTGCTTTCTGGGCCAGCATGCGGTTTCCGGCAAGGAAAGTTACACCGCCGATGATTGCCAGGTACTTCAGAGTCTGGAACATGTTCAGGTGGGTCCAGTAGACGTACATCAGGCCCAGCATGGCTGAAATGAAACAGCCAAATAGATTTGAACATTAATGACCACCCAGCCAAGTTCCCCATCTCCACTCCTTCACAACATATAGAATGCTCCAATGCTATGATATACTGAGCCATAGTCCTTTGAATTTGACATACATCTTCATGGTAACAAAAGGAAATAATTATAGAATAAAACCTTTAATATTTTTACTGGAAGTATTACAGTGGTCCTGTGGTTTTGACAGCCAGCAACAGCCATTAACAGAACTGCAGCCACCATCCTGTTGCGCTGTAGTAGCCATTGTGCTGTCACATCATTCACTCTAAAACTTGCACTATAGCCTACATGTGTTAGTATCATGGATCACATGAGTTGGCATATTAATTAACCAGCTAAACTAGCATTTAACAAGTGGCTTCTTCCTAATGGCTCCTCCTACTCAGCTTACAGAAACCACGCTCTGTCCTGACATCTGCAAACACGTTGCTGATGAGTTTATGGGCTCAGTCACTTGTTACGGGTCACACTAAATGAGTCCAATATTTAAATATTTAAACTTCTAAGAGTCCCTCAGCCTAGTGACTGTTTAGTGATCCCCAGGGAGCCGCTGGTCTAAGAAAAACTGAACCCGACCCAGTTAGCAAGTAGTTGTGGCAGGTTGCTGCCAGTCACTAACATGAGATAGGTTTCCTATCCCTTTCTGGTTCTAAAAACACTACCCTCTGCAACTGGTTTCACCCAGCAGTAACCAGCCAACATTTGCTAACTGGTTGGGGAACACACATTTTTCCCTTTATATTCTGGGAAGCGGCCGCTAAGAAAGCACAAATGTTCCACGAAAATGTTTTAAGTTGCGTTAAAAATTACATTAAACTGTTACAGAGCCATGAAAGTTTTGCCACGTGTGCACAGAGACATCGGGAGACACGGCACTTCGAAGGAAATGTTTTATGCCTAAAACACAAACCTCCCTTTAAAGAGAGCACTGTGGCAGGTGAAGCATCAGATCTGTGTGGCGTGACGAGAACACTGAACTCTGTGGTGATAAAAACGCACAGAGCTAAGTCTGCTGGAATTCTGCATTGTTTTCCTGTCACAATTGCCTGTCGCACTTTTGTGTCATCATGAAGTGCCCTCGATTTCAGTGGTTTTGACACTTCATGGGAGATGTAGCCCCACCAGATGTTTACTTTGGAGAGCAATTTGCACAACAATAGTGATGATGGAAATGAGCAGAAATTTGCATTTCCTGTTGTCGTGCTTTTCTGGGTTTAAATTTTTGCTTCTTTTGGCTGCTAAATTCCGCACATGGAAAACTGACTTAATGTCACAGAGGTGTTTGGGGAATTTCATGAATAATGCATACTTAGAATAATCATTCTGCATAATGTCAGCTGTTCTTACAGCAATTCGCTCATCGTGTAGAACAACAGCGGGCAAACAGCAGACAGAGAAGCTGGAAAAAAGTCGAGTCTGTGGCAAAGATTTCATTTCAAACACGGGGACTAACCTGCGTGTCCCAGATGGAACAGGATGGTGCTCGGAGAGAAGCTGAAGCTGGAGATGTTGGCGCCGAGCTTGACCCACTACAGAGGAGAGAGGGGAATAAAACACAATGTGATTTTTCGTCCTCTGCAAGAGGACAAAAGAGCCAAAAAAATTGTTTACCACCTAACGCACAATGAACTGATCCACGGCAACAATGACTATTATTCATCACTGAAAATGCCAGGGGAAAAATACACTATAGCTTTTGTGATTTCAAATTAAAACAAGTATTATAGTCATAGTGGACTAGAGTCTCATTCACTGTCTGTGAAGGCTTCGTACTGAAGAGCTTTTCAACAGGGGAAAAAAGATCACTGCACAGAGCAATAACACAGGCGGACGAGCTATCAGGGAAAGCTTGGACTGATAATGAAATAGGTTTGTTTGTAGGTGTGTCTCTTTAAATAGCAAATTACTTCCATACGTATACGAAACCACAGCTAGATGGAGAGTGGGGAAAAAAAAAAAAAAAAAAAAAAAAGGGAAACGTTTTGTACAAACATATTATTATTATTACCAGAATGAGCAGCAGCAGGAAGGGAGACAGGATGAGTGCAGTGAAGGTGTTGGAAACCACTGTGGAGGGCTTCTTCTCAGGTTCCCTGAACAGATGCTGCACAAACATGAGGAGATTGTTAAAATCAAGCTGGTTTCATTCTATCATCAGCCAGTAAATGAGACGTTAAGAGAGCATAACTAGTACCTGAATCTCTGGTTTGGGTACATAAAGAGTCTTAGGTTGAATTGTTGCCGGGGCCTCCTCATCCACGAACTTCAGAATCACGTCGGCCTTTCAAAAGATTAAAAGTGGGTGAGCAGGGTTTACGTCAGCGAGGACTCGCTATCGCCAACAGGCCTCAGACACTCACCACGTTCCACAGGATGGGATTCTCTAAAGTGGCGTCTCCAACGATGAGGTAGAGAGAATAGGTGCCAGAGATGGAGTCGAATTCCGATTTCCGCTCGGCTGTGTCCAACTCAAACTTGTACAGGTTCTTGCTGTCGGGTTCGGCCACAAACACGACCTCCTGGCCAGTTTTCTGATTGTGCAGCCGTACAAAGGTCTGCAACATGGACAAGAAACAGGTTTTTGACATCAGGTGAGGGTTTGAGCTCACCCTCCTGCCATAACCAGTGTGTGTCTTCTTGCGTTTGACTAGACGTTCACTATGAGGGCCGTATGGTCACAAACGAGACTATAAAAGCAGACGAAGTCAGAAACAAGTGTTCTGTCAGCAGTTTGCTGTAGACGTGTGTTCCTGTCACACTCTGATTACACACCTGGTGAGGTGTGAGCTCCACTCCAGTGTTAATGTCAACCAGCTGGAAGGACATGGCAAAGTTCTGGTGGCTGTCTGCTGTGAAGGAGCTCTTAGCTTTGGAAGGATAGTCCACCCTGCATGTGTATTTACCAAAAAGAAAAGACAAAAACAGATGAAAATGATTTAGTATTTTACTTTCCTCTTACGGTGGATCAACAAAAGCTGGCACCACTTTTTAAATTTGATTTCCAACCTGGTGGTCTTTGTGCCGATGCTCTGGTCCTTATCCACCACAGAGAGGTCCATGTTGGTCACAGCCACCTCTGTGGACACCTTCACTTTAAGCTACAGGTGGAGTACAAAGCAGAGTCATGAGTACAGTAGTCAAAGTGTGTGCACAAACAATGCAATGAGAATTCAGTGGTTCCCCACACAGCCTGCACACGGGCAGGCAGCCCGGGTATATTAAAGCCTGAACAGATTATCCTGGATGCAAATCACATTCTACACATCTGTGATTGATCTAAAAGGAGTGGACAATCCCTTTACTCTTGTTTTCAAAGTTTAATCACTGCTCAAATGTCTCCTTAATATGGTTTAATATGCTACTGTGGAAAAACTCAACAGCATTCAGCTGCTTCCCCAGAGAGGATCGCAGAATCCAACTCCACAGTAGCTGGACCAAAGCTTGCATCAGCAGCCCCGGAGGGCCACTCCAACCAAAATGTGTAGCAGATGGAGAGCTGGTCCATACGTGACTACACCGAGACCGCAAAAGAGCAAAATGAGAACTACAAGTGCCAACTTCAAGACGGTGCCATCATCCCTCGGATCAGAGGTTTGCTGGACTGACATATGATTTTACTTTTTTTTTTTTTCACACAAAGTACATGGCAAATAAAATACTTGCTGATGAGAACCTTATAAACATAATTATTTCTTTATTCATTTAAGAAATGATGGATCCCTGTTTTTCCTTCTCCTTTCCTTCTCTAAGCTGCTCGACTTGAATGAACACAAATTTTAAACTGGTGCAGCAGGTACTTCACACACACCAGCACCACGTTAGAGTGGTCTGTCCAACGATTTCTGTAACTGGGTTCACATCCACTTCATGTCGTGACTGGCCAGCTGCGAGGAGCCAAGAAAGCAGCCTGATTTTGTACTTCTCTCTCTCGTGTTCCCTTTTTCATTGGACACAGAGCATTTTACGGCACTTCTCCTGCGAACAACCAGGTGAAATATCCTGACAGTCTCCATGGAGAGAATGTCTGATGACGTGCACCATTGTTCCCACATACTGCACAGTATCCTGTTATACCCCACCCTCCAGCTTTGTCATGTCATATGAATGAACAAGAGCTGCACAAATATGTTCTTCTAATTTTTGTTTTTAACTATGTAGAAAACAAGATCATCTGCATAACCACATCTCCCTGATCAAGTTTTATTTATTTGGTTTTCAGTTAGATTGTAGCTAAAGTTCAATCTGCTGAAAAAAACAAACATGTTTTTAAGTTAGGAAATACAAAGATTGTAGAGCACTCGTGTTAATAATTGCAAACTCATTACTGACCAAAACTATTCTGATTTCTGCCATAACTGAACATCAGCAGTGAAAGAAAGCTCCTGAAGCTGTAGAGGACGAACATTTCCACAAGCCCAACAGCAGGCACTTTGTCATTAATACAAACAGCCTGCTGGTTAGTGGGATGGGCAGTACACCAGATGTATCAGCATACATGCAGTAATTTCTTTAATTATATGAATATTAAGTCAATAATAAGTCAAATAGCACTCAATAAACCAAAATGCCTATTGTGGATTTTACAGGAGATAGAGCTGCATCCACACCGGAAGCAACGTAGCGACCAGAGCCCACAGAAAGTGATCAAGTAAAATAATCACTGGGATGCAAAGTTGGCGGAAAGCGAGTACCAATGCGAGTGCAGGATACTTTCGATTGAGATATGACCTAGTAGTAAATGCATTAAAGGGTTAGCTAGGCAACTGGAGCCTGGAACGTGTGCAAGCGATGAGCTGTCAGCTTCAAAGGGAATCATTTTGTGTGGACACAGTTTAAGAAGTTGAAGCTCAAGCTACACTTGTAGTATATTCATTAAAAGGAAAGTTTTCTATGCAGTCTATGCAGCGCTGTTCAAAACTAAGCACACCCCAACATTCAACAGCTTGCAGAACCACCGTCACTGTTTTGTGTACGACTTTATCCGTCTCTCACGTCGTTGTAGAGGAATTTTGACCCCACCCTTTACAAAACTGCGTCAGCTCATTGAGGTTTGACTATATTTGATTAAGGCATTCATTTAAGCACAGCTCTCTTAAGGTCAACAGCATATTGATCAGGTTGAGTTCTAGACTTTGACTGGACCTTTACGACATGTTGATTCTTTTCTCTTTCAGCCATTCCAAACTTTACTGCCAGAAAGAAAAAGAGTTTGTGCTGATGTGCCGTGTTTGGTTTTTCCCAAACATGGTAGATGTACATTATGGCCAAACATCTCCACCTATTCACATAAGTTTTGCTTTAATAATCAACAGCTTCCTGAAATCAAAGCACGTAACAGTGTTTGAAATATGAACACTTTCCAAATCTTTCATATTTACAGAATGGTATTCTGGGTAATGTCATCTTTCAAGGTAGAATAACAGTACAACAGCTGGGAGGATGTTTGTGGCTACATATAAAGACGAGGATGAAGAAAGAGACGTGACATGCCCTAACGCAGACCTTCCCAAAGTGGGGGCGCAGAGCCATTGCAGGGGGGGCGCGGTATGAAAAGGGGGGGGAGGCTTGGACACTGCTAGCACGGGGCGCCCACACAAACGCAAAGCAGGAGATGAAGCATCGCTGAATATGTTTCCAAACCAACTTCATTCTAAGCCAAAGACTAGAAAATATGGTGAAGCAAATCTTCCCTTTAGCTTCACCTGCACAAGTGCTGAGGTAGGTCTCCCCTGCAGGATTGGTTTTCCCTGCGTCGGGAGCAGCGCTGGGCTCTTCAAATCACGGACAAACAGGATCCCACAGCTGTTTGTTTTTAAACCCATTTTGCACAGAGAGGCATTTTTTGAAAAATGGATTGATAGTAATGTTGAATATTATTACACAGGAAAAAAACAACTACACGTAAAATAATCACACCGTGACGCCTCTGCCTTTGTAAATGGAGGGACAGTAACTGCGTGTGTATATGTAAACATGTAAAACCTGCAGATAGTCAGATTAACAGTATTTTGTCTCTATCTGCCATTCTGCAATTCATCTCACGTAAACAATAACGTGGCGCACAGCGTGACGTGAAACAAAGCACATCCCTTTGACGTTGTGTTACGAACTCTGTATTCCTCGTCCACACGTAAACGCAAAAAAGGAGTTTAAAAAAATCTCAGTTTTCGGTGATTTGAAGCGCCGTTTAGGTGCGGACGAAAGGCCCAAGCACATAGAAACAGCTGCGTTTTCAAAAATACCCGTGTAGGTGTGGACGTAGCGTACAACAGTTAGTAGTTTATTTTATTATTACCTGTAATTTATTGCAGATTACTTGTATTTGCTTAATTGTTTACTAAATGTTTGAGGTGTGAAATAAACCGCAATGGAGCAAAATACAGGTGTGTGTGGTTGGAGGATGAGTTTGTGCGCGCGCAGGGCGCGAACATTTTTCTTGTAAAACAAAGGGGGGCCCAGCAAAAACAATTTTGGGAACCACTCCCCTAACGTAACATAACATGTGACCAACAGAGAGCCGTGTGTATTTTAGGCTTTTTAGTTAAAGAAAAAATGAAAAAAATTTTTTTTGACTTTTTCATATTTGCTTGTTGCTTTGCTCTGCAAACACTAACGAGTCACATATTTGCTTCAAAACAGCAGCAATTAAAAGTGACCTTAGGTGCAGACTACAGGCCTCAGGCAAATATTTCATATTAGTTAAGGGGGGGCTAAGACTACTTTTCTTATTGTTCTGATTGTGTGTTATTACAATGACTTATTTTACATATACCCCTGACAAAAGGGAAAAGGAGTCACTGTAAACCTAAATAAAGAACCACTGATTGGAAAAATAACAATGACTATTATTATGCATGCCAATTCCAGCTAAATGCAGCAAGAAAAAAAACGTACCTCGACATGATTGGCAACCAGCCGGCTGTCCCCGGTCACTGCAATGGTGAACTGGTAATATCCGCTGGCTGGCTGGCTGGACATGAAGTTCAGTTCAAAGACGCCGCTGAAAAGGAGAAAATAAGAAGAACTCAGTATAACAGCTGGGGTTGCAGTCACAATTTACTGTAAAATGAAAGTACGTTGGGATATTATGTAAAGAGGATTAGAAACACAATCTACAGCCAATGACAACTGTCTGCTTTAATACTGGAGTTTACCCTGTCGTCGGGATAAATCTCAACTTCTGGGGAACCTGAGAGACGACTGTACAGCTAACATACATCTGGATTCTTATACATACTCATTAATTGTGAATGGTGCTTGGTTGAGAATAGCAGCCTTCGAGGCCACAGCGTATGCAGATTCCACCACCACGTTGGCTGAGTCTAGTGGTTGAGACATGACATCAGTGACAAGGAGCTGTGAATCAGAAAGAGAGAGAGACAGGGTGATGTGACTGTGAGGTGATTAAAAACCACACTGAGGGCTGTAGATAGAACACGATCCATCATGTGTACCTGCAGGGTTGGCTGGCTGTGGGAAACAGTAGCTGGGCCCTGGGCAGTGACTACTACTGGTACGTGGAAGCGGTTGCCGGACAGAGCAGCGGCGGCGCTTGCCACGCTGAAAGCCTCAGCCAGAGAGTCCCAGGATTTCTTGCTGAAGATAGAATTCACCAGCTGGATGACCTGATCCTGTGTGAAGAGAACATTTGCCATCAATACCAAGCCAAATCGATATAACTTCAGCTGGTACAGCACCTCACAAACAGATATCAGACCTCTTTGATAGGAGGCTCCATGTCCATGTGATCTGACAGGGAATAAGCAGCGGTCACAAACATGGCGGTTGCTTCGAGTCCCTCTTCAAACTGGAGGTAGAGGCCACCGAGGTCATCCAAGCGAGCTGTCAGATCCTGGAAGGGAAAAGCCATCAGAAGGGGAGTTAGAATTTACCTTAATTTCTGTCATGCATATTGTTGCAGTGATAGATACTCTTATTAAACAAAGCCAAGGTCAGCATATGTACAAGTAACACCTCGGAGTCAAAAGTTCAGACTTCAGAGATTTTTTTTTTACTCCTGACTCCTTACTGTCACTGAGAGAGGATATCACTGACTTGCTCAGCTCATCTGTTGTTCACACCTTGTGACTGTAAAAAGAAGCCAACCAGAAGGAAACTAAAATGCCTCATTTGAACAAAGAGGCTGTCCCAAGGCCTAGTGCAACACAAATGTGGATCATTTGCAGCTTTACATCATGCAAAGCAATCCTTTTAGGGTCAAAGAATAAAAATATAAAACCATAAGTAAATACAATAGGGCCCGTTTTGAAGATATAGGATTTCTTGCTATAAATCAAAAAATAGTGAGACAGCACCATCTGGTGGTAGTTTTAAAGTTCACCTCAATTTCTTCCAGTATTCCTCCGAGCTCTGCCTGCTGGGAAAGCTGGGATGCTGTTTGCAGAGCCATGGTGATGCTGTCCAAAGAGAACACCCATTTATTGTAAAATAAGATGCATAGACTCTCTTTATTTTTATTGTATTTTTTTGGTAATGACAACTGAAAAGCATCTAACACTTACGCCATAACATTATCCTCTTTGTTGATCCGGGCTGTCAAGGAACCTACAACTTCCTGGGAAGCAAGAGGAAGCCCAAGAGAGCTGAGAGCAGTCACAGCCCGATGAATCTGAGTCATGGTCGAATCTTCACTGACTGCAGCGAGGAGGAGGTCGCGGGTTTCGTTGGATACAGGGATCTAAAGAGTTAAAAACAAAAACAATGCACACAAATGTAACTCATGCATTTCTGTTACACTTATCTCTAACAGAAAGAAGAGATAACAGACAGAGAGACACCATGAAATATTTTTATACCTCACATCCTGAAATGGCACGACTGATCTCAGCAGCAAAGAAGAGTGAATCAACACTAGTGGAATCAAGCTGAGATTTCACAAACTGGCACACATCCTAAAAACAAACAAATGCAAAACAGCCACATAGTGAAGACCGATGGGAGTCTAGATTCCATATATTACATATGCAAATAATGAAGGGCTGTTTTTCTCACTTCGTGATCGGGAACTGTCGCTCCCAGCTTGGTCAGACCTACAACTGAGTAGTATGCGGACTCCAGGTCAGTGAACTGCTGGCTCAGGAGGTTCTGCAGTCGGGCCACATCAGACAGGGAGAGGTAATGTGACGGTGTGAGCGCCTGAGCTCCGGAAAGAGCCAGGCTGAGAAGGAACAACCCGAACAGCCCTGCGGACACACAGCATGGACTAAGTAATCTGACGCCGGCTGCTGCTCGAAAGGTGAATTCATAAACACAAAATTAAATATATAATAAACAGAATAATACATTTTTATAATAGCTTCTCAACATACAATTCATTCATTCATGTAACGCTCGCTCGTGCAGGTCTAGCTACGAGCCAGCAAGCTAACGTCAGTAGGAAACGGCACACTGCGAGCACAGAGCGGTATTTTTCCACCAACGATAAAACCTGCATTTCAACAATAGCTTACACGACATGAATAAAACCAAAGATGCACATAAATGACATTAAATTCGGCTTTTTGTAAAGGAATCTACTCACTAGACCGGTCCATGTCTTGAGGTCTAATGCAGCGTCACCAAAAGCGACGATTACTTCCGGTGTCTCAGAGCGCGACCTGTCAGTAGGGGGATATCCGGCTGTACACGTTGCATTTAAAAATAAATGCCCACTAAAATTATCATTTTTATTATTATTATTTTAATATATAAATACTTTGTATACGTGTAAGACGCACTGTAAATAAAATAATGGTCTATATTTACATTCTATGACATCGAATGCAAACTGTAGATCATGCTCGCAAATATCAGCTGTGCCGTCGCCATACTGCAACAGGATTCTGGATGCTTTCAGGAAATTTCTAGATTTTTGTACCTATACAGCTACCGATATCACTGTAAAGTAGTATTTGCAAATCGGACTTGTTTAGTTTTTGTTTTTTTCATTTATAAAAACCGCATTTAAATTGTAAGCATTTTACAACTAATTTTAAAAGTACACTAATGTGACCAACTGTGCTCTTTTTTTGCACTTGACTTGTAAAAGCCTATATGACTTTTTTATTTCACCATTCATTAACCGCATAGAGAAGTTTTCGTCGTTTAATAATGTTAAAGTTTTCTTGAAGCACACGGTATTACAGTTCTTCATGACCGGGCCAAGTGTCCTCTTATGTGGAAATCAAAATATGGTCACCCTAAAGTACACCACGTGAGTCAACTGCCAAAACCTGTTTTTATCAAGGTGGTTTCTTGTGCTGATGGTGAGTACATTAAGTGTACTCCACTTACACTGATACTTTCAATGGAAACAGTTTGTTTTTGACAGGATTACATAGAGCCTTAGGAAATTGTTCTTTTTCACATTCCTGTGTACTCAGAAATTTAGATCTTGCATTAAGAAAATGGATTAAACAAAATGTGATTGGAAAATTCTGAAAGTTAATATCTTAATTTAAGTTACCTGGACAACTCCAACTCAAGCTAGGAAAGAACTTTAACCTCTAACCTTTAACCTGCTGAGGCTTCCTGATTGTTGGGTCTTTGCCTTGTAATATAATGTAATATATCACTAAAGCACTTCTGGATGGATGCAAACTGCATTTCGTTGCCCTGTACCTGTGCAATGACAATAAAGTTGAATTCTATTCTATTCTATTGTGACCCGATTCAAATGTTGTGAACTGGTGCCATATAAACATAATTGAACAAAATGTTGCATAAACTAAGACAGGCTCCAATTATTAGACCACACTTTCAGCACATTCCAACTAAAACAAAGCCTACTTTATACACCTTAATTTGTCAGGACTGCATCACAAAGTTGCAGCAGCATAATCAAACAGCAACTGTATTGAACATATCAGTATTTTATTCAATTCTGCAACATTCTTGTATGACAGAGCAAACAGTCAACTCTATTTACAGTGTCACATTATTTATAATCCCCTTCACACCAACAGTTGGAACACTTTTACACCTTCACTACATCTCACATAAATGACTATTACAGATTAAAACTTGAGATGTACGCATCTTGATGGCTAGCTCCTCATCTTTAGAGATATGATTAGTGTCAATTTCTCTCCAATGTGCGGGAAGCTACAATTTGTGTGTACCGAAACGCATCATAAAAAGAATCTATACATGCTAAATAGATCCTACAATAAGTGTTCCCTTCATGCATTACTGTTCAACCTGTAAATCCTCTATAACACAGAACATGGATATGGAGGGGCAACCTTTGTACAAAACACAATGTTAAAAAAAACTGTTTAATCACATGTAAAACCTTTTTTTTCCCAGTGATGGCAAAACTATACAGCCTTGATTTTTCATTTACACATTCTTCTTCTTCCCCCTCAACATTCATTCGTTCTTTTCAAACACTGAAATAACAACTATGGAATTAAACATGCCTGGCAGCCTGACTCTACATCTAAAAGCAACATTCTCTTTCAGACAGGCCTAACACTGTCAATAACCTGATCGCTAACGTGTTGTTCAAACATGGCGCTAACCTTACGATACGTGACCCTTTCTCCGCCACAAAGTACACCAGGCCCTCAGGAGAAATGGGAAAATAGCAACTGTAAGTTCTGGATAAGTAACATTTTGGCGTAAAAACACGAGCCATCTCAGGACAGGATCAGAGCCCGGCTGGGAGCGTGGGATTTTAGTGAGCGAAGGTAGCGCCGGGCTTTTTCTGTCATTATTAACTGGTCTTTAGTTTGTCCGCAAACAACCATTTCCCATTCCTTTGACATCTGTGGAGGAAAAAAAAAACCCATAAACAGATGTAAATGACTTCACACTGATTACACTTATAACTCCTCTCAAAAGAGCAAAAAGGTGGAACATACTGGAACTGGGGGGACTGTGCTGGGAAATATGGCACTGTCACTTGGTCCCAAAAGGAAACCCTGATCCAAAATGTTTTCGTGCCGCTTGCTGCTAAGTGGTGAAGAGCTGACAGAAATCAACATCGGTTCTTCCTGTGGCCAAAAAAGTAAGGACCAAATATCAAGAATTAGGATATGACTAAACCACACGCAGGCTAATAAAGCGTTCCCACACACTTTACCTTGATGTTGTGTTTGGCTGATTTACGTTTGGATGTAGGCATCACCTGGCAGTCCATTACATCCAGCGCCAACGACTTACGCACTTTCTTCATAGGAGGGCGATGCTGGCAATAAAAGACGATCAAATCGGCAAAGAGAAACAAGGTCTGTTAAAAATATCTGAGTGAAGAATGGAAGGAGGGTAGCAATGAGCTGTCAGCAGCTCTTAGCTCAAAGCATTCTCACAGAGTGGTGGCAGTAAGAGCCTGCTTTGGGTGAAGCGACTGAACAAGGCTGCTTTCTGTGTGTGACAACTGTGATTGACAGCCCCGAGGTGGGAACTCCTGAGTGTGAAGAAAGGAGGTGCTATGTTCCAAAACTTTACAAGTTACAAAAGGCTCAGTGTTTGTGTAGCTGAAGGTCATTAACAGAATAAAATAGCATCCCCTGCATGCACCATTACAAAAACCCTTTTAAACAGAATTCCTCCGTACTAACATTTGTCAGTTTGCAGCTACGGCTCTAGGTGTATTATACTCATACATGTTGCACTCAGAATGATTTTTTCTTTAAATTATGTGGAACATAGCAGAACAAAAAGAGTGCAAAACCGTGCACCCTATATAGTGGAAAGAAGACCACCTAAGACTATTCAGCCAGTAGGGGAAGGATATGTCATAAACAGCAGTAGATCCTTTCCCTGCCCCAGGTATTAGTGTTTTTGGCATTTGTGTCTTAAACTTGAATATTCAGTGTAAGATTAGCACTGTGTTATACTGCCCACAGTATAAGTGTACAAAAGTGAAGGGACCTGATGCATGTGAGCAGAAACACACTGCTATCACTGACAGAGCATGACAGCACAGGTAACTGAACTGTAAAGTTTGATGATTTTAGCAACTTACATCTACTTACAACTGCTAGTGAGACTTTTAGTAGTTTTCCTAGGATCAGTTTCACTCCAGGTTTTAGATATTTAGTGCACAATATGTATACTATGGATGTTATGATCAGGAGTATCAAGATGTCAGAGCACCCGCACTACTACTATATTAGTATAGCGGGTCCACGGGGATGAAAAAAAAGAGACAGTTTTTGTGAATTAAGAGAACACTAATGATTTTTAAATTACATTCTAGATATTGAGCTGCTAGCCAGAAATTTTTTTATATAATTTTATGATGTTATTTTATTTATTTTTTCCAGTGTAAGCCTAATGAGCCATGATGATGATGACTTTCTTTAATTTACTGTAGTAGCATCTTCCTAAAGTGGACAAACTCAAAATTGTGTTTATTTTTATAATACATCTCAGCCTCATATTAATGGATGGGGTATTATATTTCTTTATACTAAAAGAAAGGGAAACAATATGCAGGTGTATTAGGTTAGTAAATCTACCAGTCTGGCCTACTTGGAATCAAATGTTGGGCAGAAAGTGAGTCTGACACCAGCCTCTGACTGAAATGACTAAAAATCTGTGCGATGTATTAAAATCGGCTTTCAGTTACCACAGTTTTGCGCCTCTGTTCGGGTGGAGTTAAGCGCATCATTAAGTCGATCCCCGCATCTCTCAAGATGACCTCATTTATGTCGTCCTCGAGGTTGGGAGTCTGAGGCTGACAAAAGAGCAGAAAAGGCTGTTAACAGCACAGGAGAAAGACGAGAGCTAGCATGTTTTCCCAGACAGCACATGCTGATGCTCACCAGAGGCTGCAGAGGCCCGTACTTCTCCATGGCATTTTTAAACGGTGTTGGAGTTCGTGGGGTACACAGCTCAGACTTGTGGTTGGGTGTAACAAAACTAGAGAAAACAAAAAGGAGAACACACAGAAGTTCATATACACTGTGTTAGATTAACAACGTATAATTCTTACTGTGAGAAAGACGCTAGAAGTCATTGTTCAGATTAACATCAGGCCCTGCTTAAACTATGTTAATGACAAAAATAAAAATCCTACTTCCAATTGTTATCCACTCATTTCAGCTCAGTGTTACGTCACTTATGATCACCCTCACTGGTGGGTGTACCGCCTCACTAATACGTGTGGCTTTGAGCAGATAAGACACAAGCAGGCAGAATAGTTACAGTAATCGAGGCGCTGGCGAGATATTATGTTAGTGCAAGTGCTGCATTAAACACTGAACATAGGACTCGATTAGCCCATCGTCACCAATATCTAATCTCTCCAAACTTGAATCAGCATCAAACCGATATCTGATTTTTACACCACTTCACAATTAAAGATTAGTTATTATTAATCTCTCACTCTCTTTCACAGTGTCTCTTTTGTCCTGTTTCCAAACCTCTGCCTGAGGCTTCTTCCTGTTAAAAGGGAGTTTTTCCTTCCCACTGCTGCCAAGTGCTTGCTCATGGGGGGGGGGTCGCCTGATTGTTGGGGTTTTCTCTCTATTGTTGTAGTGTCTTTACCTTACAATATAAAGTGCCTTAGGTGACTTTTGTTGTGATTTGGTTCTATATAATAAATGAATAAATTGAATTGATGTAAAAAATACTAGTAATAAATGTTAATCCATTGAATCTGACATATTCAATCCACAACCCTTTGTACTTGTAGAAAAACACACTCTAATAATTCTAAGAACATTACATGAGATTAAAATGTGCAAGAATCATTATTATAAGTTGGTGGAGATGCTTTGATGGCATCAGATCTTCAGAAATTTGTCTGTTTTTAGATGAACCCATGAAAAACGAAGCCATCAGATGCCTCCACCAATTAGAGGACTCTTACACTGAGTTTTCCTTTTGAGTGAGAGGCGTCTTGTCTCGCTGCAGTGGAGTGGTAACTATGGCTTTCTGGCTGCACACGGGTGTGGACGTGAGAGGCGACTCTAAGTCATGAGTGTCCTGCTTAGTCCACATGTTGAGAAACTGCAAAAACACACATTTGTCAGTAGAGTGCATTAATAGGACATGACTGCGAGTACCACTGAACAAGGGACTTACTTGAGATGGAGAAAAGGGCAAGATTTTGACAGGGGTGCTCTTAGGAGTCATGGACTTGTTGGCGTCGGGAGACAAAGCGATGCACCTTCGGCTCCGGTGGCTCAGTATGGAGGGGGGTGTGACGCCCCCAGGAGAGATGGGGATGAGTTCTCCTTTGCTGCCTTTGCTTAGTTCCTGCAGGGCGCTGCCTTCCAGACGAAACTGATGTCGCTCTGGGCTGGGACTGTCCTCGGGGAGGTCAAAGGCTGCGAGGTTGCACCAGCCATCAAGATCCTTAGTGCAGAAGAGACATTTATTTGTTAGGTCAGCATGCAACCACGACTGTGAAATAGCCAAGACTGAACAGATGCAGGACAAACTGTATAGAGAATACATTATAGACAATATAAAACCAGGACAGGTTTTTTCTTTTTTTTAAATAACCCTGTAGTATTGTAGATATTCACCCCATCCACCATGTCTAACACTTCCTTCAGAGCTGGGCCAGTGGGAGACAGAAATCCGGAGCTGTCCACCACCCAGCTGGTGCTGTTCAGCGCCCCTGTGCTGTCCACCTCACTCTTGGGACTCAGACTGTTGCTTGGAGAGGGAACAGACTTTGACGGCCCAGCTTTGCTGGTGCCAGCTTTAGCTGACGTTTCTTGCAGCTATTGGAAAAAGGAGATTCTATAACAACACTAGCATAGACTAGTTTCTGATACTTAAGATAACTGTGTTATTTTCTTTAATGAATGCGAACAGTCACTTACTGAAGGAGGGATCTTCTGCTCCGAGTCCTTGTCTGAACTGTCTTGAGAGCAACTGGGCACCTGTGTAATGAGAAGAACCCAATTTCTGTATCTCACCATACATATCTTTTGTATCTTGTATCATAGAGGAGGACATCATGGAAACACAGCCCACCTGACCATCCTTGTTAACACGAGCCCACAGCTCCTCCAGCTCATTGGGCCTGAAGACCTCCCCGGAGTAGAAGCCCATCTCTAACTTCCGTTTGATGGTCGAATTCCAGTGATTCTTCACTGCATTGTCCGTCCTGTCAATATATATCAGGACATGAATTGCAGTGTTTCCCCACATACTGACTTTATTTGGCAACACAAAGTAATCCTCGCACTTGTTTTGAAAGTTGACTTATTGCTAACAACCTAGCCTTGGCCCTTCTCCTGAGACATCCAACAATGTAATACACTACCTCTTAAGTGTGTCTCACATCCTGTGGATGAAAGGATTCCAACAAACAACAGTAGACAATACTCTGCTGCGAAGATCTGCTGTGACCTACAGGCTCAGTCTAGCTGGAACAAGTCCCTTGTGGCTGAGAACAGAACAAGGACTACTGTTTAAGTTTAAGACTGTGGTGTAGGAGTCCATGCAGTCCATTGCAGGACAAGTGACCCACCAGATAGGCAGCTGATTAAATTGTTCATCAGTTGTTACAAAGTATCTGACAAGCACAGAAAAGTATCAAACTTTTCTAAGTTAAAAATTTAAGAATTCAATTCAGAAAAGAGCAGGAGTTTGCATGTAAAAGCTCATATCAGCCATATTCTGTTTCTGACAGAGTAGCTACTTGCCTTCCAGGGAGCAGTTTTGCGATCTCAGCCCAGCGATTGCCAAGCAGGCAGTGAGCCTTATAGATGATGAGGTCCTCCTCAGCTGTCCATGAAGACTTCTTGACACTGGGATTGAGGTGGTTGTGCCAGCGCTCTCTGCACTGCTTCCCCAGTCTGCCTTTCAGGTGCTTGGCTACCAGTGCCCACTGTTTGTTGCCATAAAGATTGACAAGCTCTATAACCTAGAGGACAAAAAAGAAAAGTTAAAAAAAAGAAGATCACCAGCATGCTTTTATTCACAACATATTTACTCCGTTAACACCTCTAAACTACCTACCTTCTCATCTTCCTCTTTAGTCCAGGGGCCTTTCACTAATTCTGGGTCCAAGACTTTAAACCAGCGGTGCTGACACTGATGTTCAGTATGATTCTAAAAAACAAAAAAGCAAACTCAAAATACTGAAAAAGATTTCCGTTGACATACATTCTTACAGAAAGATGTTCAGACTCACAGGTATGTAGCTGGCTATGGTTTTCCAGTCATTTGGTCCCAGTTTCTGAACCAGCGTTTTAAGCTTCTCATCCTGTATACACACCCAAAAATGAGCATTTTTATGATCCCTGTCCTCTAAAGCCATCTAAATAGTCGGTTTGCTTCAATGTTTAAATTAAGGTTTGGTTTACATTATATATATATCAAAAAATAAAAATAAACAAATACCTCCTCTTGAGTCCATTTCACCTTCACTTTCCCTCCATCCCTCTGCTCTGCCACATCAGAATCAGTGTCCTGATGCATGGCCTCCTCTCCATCCTCACTGAGAGACAAACAACTGTGATGTGGACGAACATAGCTGACAGACAACTCACTACTGACCGGCCCTGGTGATGTCCGGAAGACAGCTAGATTATCGTTCTTATTTTCCTAGCAACTGCGCGGACAACAGCTCGCAGAAATAACATACTGTTTGCCAATTATGTCTGTGTTGAGCAGTGATTTATTTATCTAGTGAGATCTAAGAGAAACCGTGTTTGGCCTCAAGTTTAACCCTAAGCCTGTTTTCCGTGTCCGGAAAAAGGGCGGCATAGACACAAGCGAGCTCCCAGGCATAGCAGGGTTAGGTCAAACAGTAAAGACTGCAGTTTCCAACTGACTGTATTAAACAGAAGAAGTTAAATACTCACATTATCCCCCGTGTTAAAAAAATAAAATAAGAACAGCTAATTTAGGTAATAAATATTAACATCTTACCCGCGCGGCCACCGGGACATTTCCCTCTATTTCTGTTGTTTACGGTCGGAAAGCGATTTCTCCGGCGGCCGTTGCACGTCATGTACATACGTACTCGGTATTATGTCGTCGTAATACCCGTGATTAATGTCTCTATATGGTAGCCAGTGTTGGTCATGGAGGCTCGGCACTTTTCTAATGTTACAGCCTATGCAACCAGCTGGTGCGGAGCGCCAGAGTTGTCCGCGCTCTTGGATTTCTATCTCGCGCTCTTCTCTGTCGTAGGAACCGGATAGTGACGTAGCTGCGCATTGGAGCTGCGCTTAGCCACAAAGAACGCTTCTGGTTTGTCCCAGCGGTGTAAATTTTGTTTTATTATCGTAAAATAATGTTTTTTGCAGTCATTTGTGTGGCTCAGTCAAACACTGTAAACACCCAATTGCTCAGAGGGGATGTTTAGATATTGTTACATAATAAAACAGTAAAACAGTAAATTTAGTTTGAAAAAACACGATTTTTCTACTAGAAAATTTCAGACACTTTCACATAAATATTTTTACTTATGAAGTCATTTTAATTTATTTTTTGTTTGTTTTTTCATATTTACACTTTTAACTAAATATACTTTCTACCATTTCCTTCCCAGAAAATCTATAGTATGTTTGTGAACAGCTTTTAAACAATACAGTGCTTATTAGACCACCACCCAGTGTAAGGTTTATGCCACAGCTGCCTTAAATTGATAGTACTAGTATTCAAAAAGTATTTTTTTATGTTTCTGTATTGGTTAGGCCAACAGTATGTGTGAGCTCTTTAATAAAAATTTTATTTTTATCCTAAAAGATTTTTTAAACAGCATACAAATAAATAGTTTTTAAAAAGTTTAGTGATTTTGTTAAAATTACAGCCTTAGATATAACCTAACAGATTAGTGCTCAATAAACCACAAGTAAATTAAAGGGCCTGAATCTGTACAGGGCTGACAGGTCCGCCTCCTTCTCCCACTGATGATCTGCAGCTGGGTCAATTAGCAAGTAGCTCCAACAGCTTAAAAGCCAGCTGGAGCTCAGGCAGCCCTGATTAAACATGGAGACAATGGAGAAAGTGTTTGTGGTCAAAGGTAAGAAAACTGGACTGAATTAGATGTGTTCATTTGCCTCATCAGGTGATTTGTTTCTGAATTCTGTCCAACATGTTTTACCTTTTAGATATGAAAAGCTTTGAGAGCTCATCTCCATCAGAGCTTGACAGGAAGTTTTATGGGGAACAGAGTCTGCTGTCTGCACTGTCAGTGGAACAACTGTCCACATCGAGGGTGTTGAATGACACGACAGCTGATGGATTGGACACCAGGCCGTCTGTTGGAGCCTCTCTCTGCCTGTCCTCTGACACCGCCTCCCCCTATTCAGGGTTTTCAGTGAACACCATGAACACTCATGAAGCTGACGGCTGCTACCTGGCCGTCCCATTACTGGGGAAGTCCTCCACTCCCCACATGTTCCTTCAGAAGCCAAAGCAGCCAGCTTGTTTTGATCAGTCATACAACGATCTCACCGCCTCGCAAATGTCATGGGACGTGTCTGTGATCAAGTCGGAGAGCAATAGCCCCAGATTCTACGTGGAGTCCTGCACTCTGGAGCAAACGTGGAGTCCAAAACCCTCACAACAAGAGTCACTAGCTGATGTTTCGCCCTGATGTGGCTAAAATTAACACTTTACAAGGGAAAAGTTAGCTGTCAAGTGTGATGTGCACTCCCAGCCTCTTCACACACTATGTCCAAGTTGCCCCCACCCTCAAATCTGTAGTTTGACATCATGTTCTGTTTTTAAGGGATCCATGTGAGGACTGCTGCAGAACAGTTTGCCTTTTTAATAATCATATCAATGTTTTAACTACAAAAATATTTTCAAAGCACTGTTAAATAAAGGGTATAGAACTTTATTTGCTCTGGTATATTCTTACAATGAAAGACAATACAAAGTTATAAAATGTAGCTGTACATGTTCTGAAAAGTGTGGTTACTGCAGTCCCTCCATTGTAACTGTGTGCTCATAAGCTTTCTAATTTCAACAGGGACTTATCGAATGTTCAGGTTTCTTGAATCCAATCACAGCGGAGTGAACCGGGCCTCCGGGTCCACATCGTGTTCCTGCCAAAAGTGAGGAAAGTCATTATTGGACAAAGCCTTTAGATACAGGAAGATGTAGTTATGAACACACTCACCTGATTTAGTTTCTTGAACTCTACAACCTGGAAGAAAATGTGTTCCAAGATGTGCTTGGCATCCCTCTGCTCTTTATCCAACTTAGAAGTCACTCCGAGAATTTCACCACATTTCCGGACGTAGAATTCAAGGTCATCGTCTGTACCTGTGAACACAACCAGTTTAATATCAGGAGGAGTACGATTAACTGCTTCAAAACAGGCAAGTTCAGAAATAAACTTAGTTTAAGGGAGATGTCTGGGTAAAGTGTACAATAGGTGGGACTAGGATGATCAGATTTAGACTCATGAGCAAACATTTAACATGTAAAGAATATCTGTAGCAGGAGGATTGAAAGTTGCATCCCACCTGACGAGAGGTATCAACAGGCCTTTTTAGACTTGCTTACAAAAACAAAACACTGCATTTCCTGTTATTTGTAGTACTTTTATTCATATTCCATGAACATTTCATTCACTTTTGGTGATTTGTAAATTTAAACTTTAAGTAAACAGAAAAATATCATGAAATGCTAACCTGCAGGACAATTATGACAACATTCTTCAGACATTCAATAATTCGATTAAATTTTATTTATATAGTGCCAATTCACAGTCCCCTATATTTTATTGTAAATACCCTACAATAATAGAGACAAAACCCCAGCAATCAGATGCTCCCTATGAGCAAGCAACTGGTGACAGCGGGAAGGAAAAACTCCCTTTTAACAGGAAGAAGCCAACAGAACCAGGCTCACGGAGGGACAGCCATCTGCCACGATTAGATGGGGTGAGGGGAGGACACTGTGGAAGTAGAGTTAGGTAGCTGCTCTGCTTCGTGTTGCCACATGACACTAAAGATAACAACTGTGGAGGAATTGGCTGACTTTTGAAGTGTCCTGTCTTATATATAATATATATATGTTGACTTTTAAAACTAGGTCCAATTAAAAGATAAGACATAGGTTAAGTTTTAATATGTGATGCAAGAGCTGAAACTGCTGTGCAGTCACACGTAAAGAGGGACACCTGATCAACCTATATGAGATACAGAGTGACTACTGAACTGCTGTGAAAATAACCACCAAGCTTCTCACATTAGCTTATCACACATCATTAGTCTTATACGTGATAAATAGCAAATGAAAGTCAGTTTAATGTGGAATCTCACTGCCCTGGACATGTAAGTCCTCACATACGCCTCCATCAAATGATATCTAGAGGGCTGCAGTGCATGTTTGAATGCTCCATTAGCAATTCTGAACTTACACTTATTGGTGAGCTGTGCCAGACGCACTTTCTCCGACGAGAATGTTTCGTCTAGATCGAACAGATCCAGCATGGGTGGAGGCAAATCGTTTAAGGCAGGCGGAAAGACCTGAAAGACAGGGCAGCACCTACTTTTGGCTTCAAACTTGTGGGACTTTAAGCAAAAATGTTATCTTAAGATTTCAGTGAAATCCATTGTACAGAAATACCCCAGGGAAAAAAAAAAAAACTCACAGCAGGCTGAAGCTGAGGCAGAGGAGTTTCAAACTGCGGTGCAATCAGCTGCAGCGGCTCAGCTTTCACATTAAGCTGCTTGTAAGCACTGCAAACCAAAGATCTGTTTTTAAGCTTCGAAGGGAAACAACAGCGTTTGGACTCAGGGGAGAGTGACCGATTTCTCACCTGATGACTTGGGGTAAGGTGTCAGTCGACAGATTGAACAAAGACATATCAAAGAGAGAGGTGAAGTCCCGTGGGTTTTCGTCTCCTTCTTGTAAGCACACTCTGAGCTGTTCAGACAAACAGCCAGTGTCTGGCAGCATGGTGTAATCTGTAATCTGGGGGACAAAAAAAAGGACAAGAAGAAAAGAAGAACCTTAGCTCATTTAAAAAAAAAAAAAGAGAGAGAGAGAGAGAACACAATTAGGAAAGCCATTCTGCCATGCACTCCTCTTCCTCACCTCTGGGTCTTCGGCATCAATCTGATTCAGCTGAATGTTATCGGTCATGAGCCACTGAAGCACAACGTCCTGTGATAAAAGAAAAAGTTTCATTTAAAGGAGCTTTATTCTAGAAGGATCATGCTTCTACCTTCACCTAATAAATTACACAAAAAAAGTGGACTTACCATGATTTTACTGTTCTCCTCTTTGTCTATGTATTGATCACTGAACATGTGGCAGGAACCCAAGACAGCCAGTTTGCCAGAATTCTACATTAAAAAAAAGTAATCTCCATCTTACCACATTTCTGACCATATGGTTAGAAAAACAAAGTTGTCACTACACTGTGCCTCTGACCTTGCCATGATAGAAAGCCAGGACAGGCCTGTTGAGGGGGAAGCAGACGGAGCCCGTTGAAAGAACAGCCACGGCCGGCTTCATCACGGTCAGTGTGGCACCGTACGGGTACACAAATGTGAGTGCCCTGCACAAAGAAAGACAACAGCTCAAATGTGAAGTCTTTCTCTTTAATACAGAAGATGGAGGTGTACAAGATTGAGACTCACTGTGCATTGTTTCCAACATTTTCATCTTCAATGATTCCCGTGACCACTTTTCCAGCAGCACGGCTGATCTCCCTGCACAGGAAACAGGCAACTGAATTGATAGTTTGGCATGTATCAGCATACAGATGAAATTAGATAAATCTTAGATTATGCCAGCATAAATTTAGGCTAGAACAATCTGGGACTCTGTGAAATATACATAAAAAGAGAAAAACACTGGTGAACCTGTTCAGTACACCATTGGACACAAGCGCCTCCTTAGGATGGAAGTATTTGTAGTACACATTCCTCACCACAGCATCTTGGATAAACAAGATGAAGACGAATACAAAGCATTTTAAAAACAGCATGGGCAATGTTTGCATAGCTGTTTTCCCAACAAGGTTTCAATTCGCACCATTGTTGACCATTACTCCGAAGTCCTCCAGGAGAAAATTGATGTTTGTGTCATACTTCATTTCTCCTCCTTCACCGAGCATGACCAAGATATTCCCTCCTCCATCCAGGTAGACTTTCAGCGCCTCCATCTGAAATAAAAGGAAATAACTAATGTGAAAATGTGTTTGTGGTTGAACAAATGAAAGAAGCTTAAATATTCTGGGTGGCCCTAAGCCTTGTAGAATTTTAGACTGCTTGGAAATTAGCCGGCAAATAACATCTTTTCGCCCATACATCACCTCTGACCCTGTGAACCTCTCCCTTGGACCTGCAGTTATCCACAACTTGACACTCTTCAGCTTATCCAAGGACAGCTCTTCTTTTATGCTACAGGAGACAGCACAGATTTTGCATTTGAGGTTTTAAAATTGCTGCAGAACTATGAGAAAATGTTGGTTAAGTTTGAGAAAAATGACAAAGTAAAATATAACTCAGTAAACATACTAAAGTGCTTTAGTAAGATTATTACCAATACGTCCCATTTTATTATTTTACTTTACTATACTTACTTACAGAGACTAATATTCTAGCCTCCTATGTCTATATGCTTGCTTTGTTTACCAGGTCCACTGTATAACATTTACATTTAAGAGCATGTCTTAGCTGATAACTAGAGGACTTGGTACTATTTCTCTCTTGTATTTAATCGTCCCCAAACACCTTACCTTTGGATTTTCCACTGAGCTTTTAGTCTCTTCTGCATGGATTTGTAGCCATTGTTCGTAGTAAAAAGCTCTCTTTTTGAAGCATTGAAGACCACGCTGTTGTACTGTTCCTTCTCCATTATTTACCAGCTTCAGTCACCAAAGTTAGTGCTCTTATCATCCACACACCTAAAAGACGTTAAAAGCCCAAGTCAGACTTTACCATTAGTCCAGGGCTGCCAGCTGTAATTAGCATAGTTTTGGGTTTGCATCCACCGTCGTGTGCTAAAATGGTGTTAGCAAAAAACAGCCAAGAAGCTCGCTAACATTATGGTTAGCCGTGAAGCTAATAGCGAGGTGTTTTCGCTTCGTTTCACTAAAGACTGCTATGGTAACCTGTCAACTGTAGCACTCTGTTTTCCCCTTATGTTAAAGCCCAGGTTTACATTATTAAATGTTAATTACCTCAAAGCGCTCTTAGAAGCGGTGCATTATGGGAAATAATGGTAACCAAGGGCGCTAACAGCATAGCAACTGGATAGCGCAGAGCATTGTGTCAAAGCAACGTACAGTTAAAACAGCTTTTCAGCGGGTTTGTTCAGTTAGCATCACTCCAAGGTCAAAACATTTGCACTTTGAAGTGCTAGATAAAGTTAAAGGAATGTTCTGTGGTTTAACGATGGTTTTTATAAACAAAAAAACTTACAAACAAGTCAAAACTTTAAAGGTGAAGGATGTGGCCATAGGTGGAAATCTGTTGGGGAATTCTGGAGCAGCAATGATGGTGATAGAAGTCTGACAGAAGTATAACCCAGAAACAGGGGTGGATCTAGAGAAATTTTCTTAGGGTGGTATGAAGGTTGCATGGAAATCAAATGGGGTAGGAAAATCAAAGCCATTTTTACACATAGCCAGGTGTTACATTCTGTATTATGCATTATATATCATTAAAATACATCAAATACAGTAAGTTTACGCAGGTGTCATATAAATATACTATAACTTTCTTGTTTTCTTTAGCCCACATAATTAAACATTTCAGTTACATTAAAAAATGCAAATTTTATGTACTGTATAGCCTGTATAATAAATAAGTATGTAGTCCAATAACTTTAAAATCCAGAAAGCTACACAACATGAGGTCGTTCATTTAGAAACACAAGTCTCACTTAAATTTCACACTCTTTTTTCTTAGAAATAATCAGATTTTCCTCATTTTTAATCGTTTTTTCCTCGTTTTTTAATAATCAGATTTTTCCTCCTTGTGGTTGTTTCTGCTTCCAGGTCACAAAAGCAGATGAAGAGAAGATGATGGAACTATTTGATCAAGTTGTGGCCTGTGATTGTTTGGGACCAATACATGTTGACAGCGAAAAAGCAATCATAAAGTCTGTGTATTCATTACTGAAATGGCTATCAAAAAATATTTCGCATGACATCTTCATTCAGAATGATTTCAAGTATTATTTCATCCCTGACTATTAGTGCCATCACGGTGCATACACTGGTACGGCTGATCCCAATACCCAACCAAGTATGACAGGAACTAAAGGTCTGTGGTTCAGATGAGGTGTGGGGACCTTCACCAGATGTGCCAGCAACTCTTACATTTGAAGTATATAAGTAAAGTTGTAAAAGAGGCTCACACTCATTCCAAAAAATATATTTTTTTAGTTATGGTATCTGTTCCTCCAGTCTGCTTTCAGCACAAAAATATCTGCCTTTTCTGGAAGAACTGGAGTCAGGATCTGAGAATATGTGCGGGACCCTGGAGGCAGCACCATCATACCAGCTGGTGAGTCTGTAGGAGGAGATGGAGTGGTGTTCCCCCTCGGACTCTGCTGCACAGGGGTAAAAAAAAGGTGTCATCAGCTGCTCTGAGTGAAACAATCCCCTGACTGCGATATGAGGAAACTCCTTGGACCCCGTAACCAGGTCATGGTAAAGGGAGAGGAATAGATTGTTCATAGAGTCCAAATGGCTGCTGTTTAAAGGATGGTTCCTCAAGTTTGTGATGAAAATCTGACGTACGAACATCACCTACAAGAAAACAAAAACAGGGATGCAGACTTCCTCGCATTTGTGCTGTCACCTGACTTTGGTGAGGAAGGCCCAATCAGAAGACAGTGAGAGATGCGTGTCGTCAGTTTTCTTCAGGATTTCTATCAGACGTTGAAAGATGATGGTAACGGCATATAAATATCCCCCTTCTCTGGAAGTACTGCACTCGGGACCTGAGAATATAAATCAGGGGACTACTACTACTACTACTACTACTACTAATAATAATAATAACAACTACTGACCTCTCGCTCAGAAAAGAGAGCTGGCCACCTTCTTTTGAAATCGCCACTGAAAGGCTCATCTCACCAGGAATCTACTGATCTCTGCGATGCCTGATCAACATGTGATCTACACAGGTGACTTCGGAGTGCATTCCAAGTTTTAAAGGTGCATGGACAATTTAAATATGTGCATGGATAATGGTGTCTGCGGCGAAAGTGGCCATGGTTTGACCTGTAGCGCTTCAATAACTGAGATCTTCTAGTCTCTTGTGCTGCACACTCTTTCCACTTCCACATTCATGTTACTGAAATTGAAGCAAAACAAAAAGACACCATATCATTATATTACTTGTTACTTTAAATATCCTCATGGAGTGTAAAGATACACTCTGACCCTTCATTATGATGTTGCAGATGAATACTTCTAAACATTTAATGGTGATGGCATTTACTTAACACTATGTACGCATCACCAATGTGTGATGTGTGTTGATAAGCAATAGTGTGTGCATATAAATGGTGGCGTGTCTACGTGTTTGTGTGTGTGAATGGGTGGCCGTCGGTAGCTTGGAGTGGGATTTGTGACGGGAGATGTATGGTACCAGGATGTAGCGATATGGACATAAACAACTGTGGGATACTGTCTGTTCGTGATTTGGACAGGGGGAACAAACTGTGGCAGGATCAGCCTGATATTATTTGTATCCCACTGTAACTTTACTGTATAAAGAGCTAACATCTCCAAAATTTCAGGAGTAGTTAGTCATTATAAGAAGTGTTTATGAACTAAAAATGAAGAATGTGGGGTGCTGTTTGTCCATGATTTGGAAAGCCCAGAGTGTGCTCCCGACGCTGGGGAAACAAATTTTGCCGTGGATACTTACCTTGGCATCACTGTTGTGCAGGTGAAGCCAAAGACAAGATAGGCTTCATCATATTTTCTAGTCTTTGGCTTGGAAACATATTTGGTGTTACTTCATCTTCTGCTTTGCGTTTGTGTGGGAGCCCCCCACACACACACTTTGGGAACAACTGTGTTACTGGGTGGTTGTGGCCTATGAGGTGAGTCACATTCGCCCCTAAATAATGAATACATTTCATACAAATCATCTACTGATGGAAATGTTGGCCGTTCCATCCCTGGCTGCTCCAGTCTGTATCCCAAAGTATCCTCGGGCACAATACTGAACACAAGTTGAATGTGGGAAAGTTAGAGAAGGAAAACGTTAGATAGAAAGCCCTTAGATGTAGGAAGGGTGCTTGTATGAATGTGTGTGAACGACGCATGTTGTATAAAGTGCTTTGAGTGCATGAGTAGAAAAGTGCTATATAAAAGTCCATTTTATAAAGCAGTTGCTTATTGCTATGTGATAGCCTCTAGCAGATTTGGAGGTAGACTGCAGGTGCCTTATTCGTGGTAAAACAAGAGACAGATTTATTTGTGAGGATTTTTCTTTTTTTTTTAACAAACTAGCTTCAAATGAATGAATATTAGTAAATAAAAAAAATTAAATAAATATTGTTAAACATTAACAAAAAACACCAGAGCTTGTTCTTTTTATTCTGTTATTTTATTACAATATAACATTACAAATAAATGATGTAGACTGTTTCAAAATGACTGGGGACTTTAAAAGGCAAACAGCTAAAAAACAACCATCACAAACCATGCAAATGTATTCATTACAAACAAAAGTATTCGTTGGGACTGAAAAGATATGAAGCAACTTTTGCTGCTGCTGTCAGCTGTTCGACTCAAATTGTACATTTGGACTTCACTAAAGAAATACTGTCACGTAAAGACTTTCATTAGTTTCATCTAATAACTATTTAATTTAACAGAAATTACAAACAAAGAAACAAAAAAAAAAAAAAAAAAAAGACTGTCAAGAAAAGACAGATTTATAGATTTCACAGCCTCCCAGTTTATGCCAGAAGATTGAAACCTTTCTGCTTCTGTAAACACCTCAGACAGGCCTGAGATTGTCAGAGATCCAATCAATCCTGCGAGGCTGATCTGGATCGAGAGCGAGACTTGGAGCGGGAGGCGGAGTGCTTGGCAGGGGACTTGGATGCCTCCTTGCTCGGGGGTGATTTGGAGGTATGTTTCTCTCCCCTACTCTCTGAACGGGACCTTGATCGGCTTCGTGACTTCTTACTGGACGACTTCTCCTTGGAACGACTCCGGGATTTGCGCGTGGCTTTGACTTTGGATGAGCTCTTGGAGCGAGACTTCCGAGTGCTGCTCTTGGAGGGACTGTGAGATTTGCGAGTGCGAGAACGAGACTTCTCTGGGGATTTAGAATGGGATTTCCTCTTGGATCTGGAATGCGACTTCCCCTCTGACCTGGAGCGAGATCGCCCTTTGCTGCGTGACCGAGACCTGCAACACACACACACACACACACACACACAAAGGGAGAGCGAGAGGAATAATTCATCACCAACTTGGTCTGGTCCCTGCACACCATCAACTACCAGGTTTCAGGACTGAGATGTAGTAAACAATCACAGTAACTGGGTACTTTGGCTTTCTCTGACACCATATTTCCTTAATAACATGACAAAAACATGACTTCCTGCTGCTGAAAAGTTTAAAAAACTGAACAGTTGAAGAAGCAGTCCACATGAAAATGACAAATGGGTTTGCCGTTTTCGTCAAAGCGGAACCACTAAAATTAAAACGGCTGCTGAAAAGACAAATAGCTAAATGTGCTTAAAGCATGAGACAAAGCCATTCAAACGTAACTGACTGTGAGCGGGACCTGGACGAGCTTCTACTTCTGCGGCTGTGAGAGCGCCGTCTGCTACGAGACCTGTGGGTTCGAAAGTAAAAACAACTTTAAAGTGGACGTGGAAATCTGCTCACCACCAACATTACGTGTTAAGTTTAAAATAATCCTTAATTATCCTGAACAGCAATAACAGATAAAACATAAGAAAAGTGAACAAACAATAAGCATGAAAACATTAAACCTCACTTACCTGGATCTGCTGCCAGAATATGAGCGTCGGCGGCGAGGTTTGTCTTCCACCAGACGAATCTTCCTTCCATTAATATCAGTGCCGTCCAGTTTTTCCAGAGCTCGTTTCATGTCTGAACGGGAACGAAATTCGATGACGCCCTCGTTGGCCCGTCCTTTATGAGCATCAGCATAGGTTACTTCACCCGCCTGCCTCATAAAGTCCTATGACGCAAATAAAAACATGACTCTGAAAATGACTGTGGCTAGTTGTGGATGACATGTGGC